GAGCAAAATAAATCCATTTTAATACGTTAGGAATATTTTAACTTTTTTTTTTCCACTCAATAGAATAAAAGAATATTTTTTTTCTCAAGAAATTGGAAAATAGCTGTTAAATACTCAGCCTTTTGCTTTTCTCATTACACTTTGACGTTCCATATGAAGGAAAGTTACTGAATTTTATTTTTTATATCCAGTTTAATGTCAACATAAAAAATTAAGTGAATATAATAATAATAATAATTAATAATTGGTAGAGATGATAAACTTACTGATTTTTACATGTTAAACATATAAAAGTCTTAATATTGGTGTTTCATCTCATTATTATATTTCATTATAAAAATAAATTTTAAAAAATGGAAATAATGTGTTATGATCCATGAGAAAGAAATCAAAGCGCCTGCATATAAAGGCAAATGTTGACCATATAATTAATCAAATAAAAATATAAAATATTTCAAACATTTTAAACTTTTGGCTTATACACCTCTCATATTTGTCAATAAATTTTTATTTAAAAATTTTAAAATAATGTATGGTACATGAATATATTAAATTTTAAAAATAATGTATGATATTATCTAAACACATAATCATAAAGTATTCTTATTTAATATTTTCATTTAAAAAAATGTACTTGTTCTCAAAAATCTATTACTCTAGAAGTAAATATTTAACCTTTTATTATTATTTTTTTAATTTTTTCATTCGATATTTAATACTTATATCAATATTTGATTAGATATCATATAGGGTGAGTAATATTTTCTATTAAGTAATTTTTCATATCTAACACTCAAACTCGAAATCTTTAATTAAATATATATATATATATATATATATATATATATATATATATACTAAATAATGGTAATTAACTTGTCATTAAATTATACACATTATGATGTGTTTGGGTAAAGACAAATAATTAATAGAACAGGTAAAGGGTGGGGGTCAATGTGAATTTAATAAATTAAAAAGTAGATTGGGAAATACATCATGTAAACGTTAGGCTGACGTTAGAACCATATTTTTAGAATAAAATAAATAAATAAAATCATCTTTTATTTTGACTTTCCCAATTTTCAATTAACTAACATCCCCTATAAATGTGCTCACTAATTTACACACAAAACCATATTGTATAAAAAAAATAAAAACATTATCATCATAGATTTTTTTTTTAAAAAAAAAAAAATGCCTCCGCGTTCTATCGTCAAGAAATTTCTTGCAAGGCCTCAACATGAAGGATTTGGTGCCATTGTTAGACGAAGCATCGGAAGGTACGTCAATAATATTATACTATATATATAATATTAAATTTTTTTTTCTTTACGTATATCGTAAATATTGAAAATTTTGATACTGTCATTTGCTACGAACAATGCACATTCATGATCACCAAGAGGATTAATTTTTGATTTTTTTTTCAGGTTTGAGTTGAGATATTTTGATCCTTTTCTTGTTTTGGATGAATTCTCAGTTTCTGCTCCTGCTGGTTTTCCTGATCATCCACATAGAGGTCACATTCTAATCATTAATTCTTCGCGATTTTAAGTTATATACGTTATCAATTTACTTAAACGATATTTATTATATGTTAAAATTTATAATCTTGAAAATATATTCCGGAAGACTATTATTGATCTAATGGGTATATAATTTATATTCTAATTTTTTTTTCTTTACTAATATTATTTAATTTTTGTACTTTGTGTATTTCTTAATTTTACAGGCTTTGAAACGGTCACATACATGTTGCAGGTATTTTATTTTAATTAAAAAAAAAACTAAATACAGACATAATCATAACTTTTTCCATTTATGGTCGTGTTCATACATTGTTAATGTGAATTGTCAAACACTAAAAATAATGAATTACTGTAATAATTAATAAATTTATTTCTACATTACTGTAATAATTAATAAATTTATTTCTACATTATGAAAGGTAGTAGTTGAGAAGATGTGATTGTCTCTAACTTCTAAGAAAACAAATAATACGGTACCCACTTGTTTAATAAAAATAAATAAAAAATCAAAGTTTGGTTAATTATGAATCAATTAAGAAAAATTCAACTAATTATTTATTATGGAATATAAATATCAATGCTAATTAAGGAAGTCTTTTTTTTTTTGGGTAATGTATTACTTAATTATTTTCAAACTTTTTAACTTACTTTTGATAAAGATTATAATTACACAAAATTGAACCAAAGGAATATTTAAACCCACGTATTTTAAAAAATATATTACTACCAAACAATTTCTAACCTATTTAATTCTTTTAAAAAAAATTAAATTTTTCTTCTTCTTTTTTTTTAAAAAAAAATTCAAATCAAGTTAAAAGGATTCACATGATATTTCATTTATTTATTTTGAAATAAAGAATAATAATAATGACGCATTTAGTACGTATAGTGCTTTTGTGTGGTGGAGCAATGGCTGAAAAAGTACATAATTATAGCATGCTTCTTTCTTCTAGAAGAATATATAATAAGTAATGAGAAAATTAATCAGTGTTTTCAAAAATGATTTTGGGACGAGTCTTGGGATGGGGAGTATCAAAAACGTTCTGACACATAAATAAAAGCGTTTATATGGCGCAAGTCCTAAAATTTGAGGTGTAAGTTCGAGCATAAAAATGTAAGTCATGAACGTAAAAATGTATTCTCGTGCATTTTTTATTTATATTTTTGAACTTTTTTTTGCTTTATAGCAAATTTTTATTATTGGTGTAACGATATCTCTCAAATAATAATTATAATACTTTTTTCTTCATTATTAATTATTAATACTTATCTCGAATAAAAATCAGACTATAAAATTGAATATACAGCAGACTACATCCCCATAGATCTATAAGACTTACGCTCCGTGTCTTGGACTTATGCCTCGCCCTATACTGTATAAAACGTCTCGCTTCACGCCCCCGCCTTTTAAAACACTGATCTTAATATAGTTTACTAGGTTACTTAATCATAATTAATATATAGTTTTAAAACAATTAAGTAATAATTTTGGTATTGTAGGGAGCTGTGACACATGAAGATTTTGAAGGACACAAAGGTACAATTAAAGCTGGTGATTTACAATGGATGACTGCTGGAAGAGGAATTGTTCATTCTGAAATGCCTGCAGCTGAAGGAACTCAAAAGGGTTTACAATTGTGGATTAATCTCTCCTCCAAACATAAAATGTATGCATTATTATTCCTTCTATTTTATAACCAAAAAGAAATAATTAAACTTTTATACATCGATATACTTCCTCTTTTTTTTTTTTATCACATCATCTAAAAAATAATTATTCGTAAGTTTCCGTCTGTCCCAGGGCACCTTTTTACAAGAATTACAAGTGGAAATACAGACAGAGTGAAACATTTCTATATGCAATATAAATACCAGTGAAATTACAATAAATATCAAATTTTGAGCTCTTTTTTTTTTTAAAAAAAGTAGTAAATTCAAAAACGTTTTGAATCTATAATATATATATATATATATATATATATATATATATATATATATATATATATTGAATCCGTCTAGAAGTGCTAAAGAATTTATCTTCAAGTAAATTCAAGATTTAGTAGCTTTTGGTCATTCATAAAGGTCAAATCTCGATCATGCCTCTATGTGAATTTATACTTTGTATACGACAGGATACAACCGCGATACCAAGAGATACAAAGTGAAAGCATAGCAGAAGTCACAAAAGATGGGATCAAGGTGAGAATCATAGCAGGGGAATCACTAGGAGCAAAATCAGCTATATATACAAGAACACCAACAATGTATTTGGATTTCACTTTAAAGCAAGGATCACATCTTCAACAACCAATACCAAAATCATACAATGCATTTGTATATGTCTTAGAAGGTGAAGGTATTTTTGGGCCTAATGAAGAATCATCATCAATAGGACCACATAATCTACTTCTATTAAGTGGTTTTGGTGATGGACTCGACGCGTGGAACAAATCAACTAGACCATTAAGGTTTATATTGATTGGTGGTGAACCATTAGGTGAACCAGTAGCACAATTGGGGCCTTTTGTGATGAATACACAACAAGAGATTGATCAAACTGTTGAAGATTTTGATAATTATACTAATGGTTTTGAAAAAGCTAAGCATTGGAGGTCACAAGCTAGAATTGGACTTGATTATTAGTGTCAAAAAATGATTAAAATAGTTAAATTAACTTTTGTAGTAGGTTTAAAATAGTCCTTTTTATATTACTCGAGCAATTTCAATCTTTTAAGTTTATCAAAAGCTTATAATTTTTGCCTTCATCAGATATTTATCAAACAAGGTAAAAATAAAAAGATATATCAAAGGCACTCACGATTCACAAAGTACATATTTTGTGCTTTATATTGTTTTTTTTAATCTATTTGAAGAATATGATACAATCATTCCATAATTTAAAAAAAAAAGAAAAGATTTTAACAATTAGAATTTGAGTCTCCCATTTTCTTAGCAAATGATAAAGCTCATTTTGGCATGTCCCCCACTGTACAATGATCCATCATGTTGTTACATTTTTATTTTATTTTATATTATAATAAGATGGGGGATTAACTAAAATATTGTAAACTCCAGAAAGAAGAGTTAGTTATCTATATATTATATTGAGAAGACTTTATTAAAGTTGTTTTTTTAATCTTATATTAATTATTTAGAATGTTTTCTCTTAACAATTAAATGTCATCATTAAATTCTACGACAGTCTTATCTAATTTTACCTTATACAAATAATTTCCACTCTCTCCTAACAAGAATATTCTTATTATCCGATAAATGATATTCTTTTCCCTTTTCAACGAATCTTATTCACACATTTTTTAACATATTTTTTTTGGCATTAAATAATAAAAACACAAACACACCATCTGAAATTACTTAGAGTGCCCCAATATCCTACAAAATTGGACATCCACCATTTTAATTTGTGGTGTATTCTCAATATGAAATACTATAAATAGGAGAATTAATAACATAACCAAATCGTCCAAAACAACAAAACACAAGCAACAAGCACTTTACTTTTTTTCAAAAAAAATTCAAACGTGAAACAAAGCACATACAATTTTTTTATAAAAAAAAATAAAATGGAAGCATCGAAGAAGCTTGTTGCGATATTTCTCGTTTGCATCGTTATGATTTCATCATCTGTACACGTCTCCATGGCTGAGGGAGAAAGTAACACAGAGAAATTTAAAAAAGCATTTACCGCTGTTGCAGCTGAATACACAGTTTGTTACAATATATGTCAAAAATTATGCTCCGATGCAGGATTTGGTTATACACATTGTGAGATGAAGTGCGATGAAGATTGCACAGCTAGACTGCTCAAAGGTATATAACGTACCTTAAAAGATCACTCTATGTTTTGTTTGATGGACGAAATCTTCTTATTTCAAAATCAATTTTACTATATGTTATACCATTTTAACGTATAATAATAATAAATTGGTTATGATTTTCTAACACGTTAATATGTTCTATTTTTACAGATAGACTCCAAAACATGAAGAATTAAAGCCTTGGAAATGGACCAAAGGATGCAAATGTAGGGGAAGGAAACAAAATAAAACAGTGGTTTTTTTGAAATTTTATTTATACTAATTCATTAATTGACCACTGTAATTGTAATTTTTAAGATTCAATATAATTGTTTCGTTCTCTAATTATTGGTGTTTCTCTCAAGTCAATTACAATTTCATTTATTTTTTTAATTTTATTTTATGTGTTCTTACTCTTCTTCATATGTTTATATTGGGCAATATTATATTCCTTTGATATACATAATGTCGCTATGCTTTGAAATATTTTAAAATATCATTATAAAAAGTAAGAAGTTCAAAACCACAGGATTTATTTTTTTTTGCTTAATATTTAAGGGTACAATGGAAATAACAACCAACTTTACTCTTAAAATGATAATCATTTTGGGATAATATTTTTGAGTTAATCCAGCGTAATTTTATAAAGTAGGGTAATTGTATGAGAAGGGTAAAATATACATAAATTTTATTCCTATCTGAATGGGTAGAAGATGGGTTCTGATATGCTAATTAAGCGACTATTAATTTGAGATTAAGGAAAAATTATATATAATATTCACACTTCCTTATGTAAGATCTACCAGCAAAATAATATTTATCGAGGAGTTCCAAAAAAAGAATCTCGATACATATAAACGATTGAACTTTATGAGATCGAATCTCAAGAAAGAAGCGGGAAGGAAAGTTTGGTTGTACGTTTTCTGGGAATAATGCCTCCTTTCTCTCTCCCCCAAGGACTCAGTCTGTCGGGTATAATTCCCAACGGGGGATCTTTTGTTTTTCTTTTTTATTTCGCATTTCTCATCAAAGAAGCTTAAAGCCACTTGTTATATTATAATGTATTATGGAGTACTAAAGAAAAACTTTATTGCATATATATTTAGAGTAATTTATGTTGTCTCAATAAGGACTAGTCCAATCTCTTTTTAACACTGCTATAAAATTTTGGCAACAAACACATTACCAAAGGATTAACATAATTTTAGACTAATTACATTCTTAATATTTAACTAATTGACCTTATAAACGAAACATAGGCTAATTATTTTTTTAGAAGAAATGAAACTTACCTGCAAAATGGAGATACAATTGCACAAAAATGGTCTTACTGAGATCAAAAGATGACAAGATCAGCAAGAAGAATGGTGAGGCAGGATGTGAAAACGCCGGCTACAACTGAGGATTGACCGGTTGGAGAGGTGGGAGCTGCACTAGCTGTAGACTCATTGCGAGCAGTAGGGGTAATCTTTGCAACAGGAGGTAGAGGTGGCTCAACCACATCACTTTCCGTAAGTATTGGGCTGGGAGCTTCTGCTGGTGGCAAAGATTGACGAGACATGAATTGTTGGAGAACTCCAGGACTAACAAGGCTAAAATACATTGGTGGGACTTTGTAATGCAAACAACGGTTCCCTATAACCCAGCACATGAATATATCTCAGTATTGAATCACAGGGTAAGTCCATACTTGCCCATATCAGTGCTATTTCCGAATATAATCACTACATGCCCAAAGCAGTAGTATTTTTACTTTGATACACAAGAAAAAGCACCATATGGCAGATTGCAGCTTACTTTCACAGGTAGACGGAAAAATTTTATTCAGTAATAACATGATGCATGTGCATGGATTTCAGATAATGCATAAAAATGAGGGAACGATAAAGAGAAGTTAATGCAATGAAAGTATAGAAATTACTTACTTCTGTATCTAGCAGCCGTGCGAGGGAAATCTGTTATAATACCGTCAATGCCAGCTCCAACAAAATAATTGTTTATCTCTACAGATGAATCTGAGAAAAAATCCCATGGTTGAGACACAAACTCATTGTTAAAGTGTTGAACGTATACTGAGAGATTTGATGAGTGCAGTTTCTCCACCACATTTGTTTTCCCAACAAGAAATTGACTCTCACTTGGAAAAACAGATTTCTTGGTTAAAATTACAGAACTAGCAAAGCTCCTGATCTCGGATATAGTTGAGCTCTCAATATCACTGATATCATCAGCAACCCTATAAACAAGTTCATAGCGGTTTTTCTTAAATTCTTTCAGAACTGAACTGTCTTTTGATTGGATCATAACTTTCTTCGCTGTCTGATTATTATAACCAGCATTCCTTAAGGCTTCAAGAACAGCATCAGTTACACCAAAACCCTGATTTGCCAGGTAAGCTGCATTCTGCACAAGTTCCAGAAAATCGACAGATAAAATGAATATGTATGGAATTATGTTGCTTCCTTCTGGCACTAAAATTTTGCTTCTTAAAACAAACTGAGAAAAATGTCATTTATTTCGATGCCAGTCAAATATTTTACAAGCACAACCTTATTGCTTATTAGCCCTAAACAGGATCTAAAATAGGAAACTGAAAAGCAATTGTAACTGAGTATTGCATCTAAGAGAAATGCGCTGTCTTTTCCATTTTGGAATTTTCCATCTCAATGCATTATTTTTCCAGCCCTTAGTGCCAATTGCAAGCAAAACACAAAACACAAGAGCAAAAAGGATTTATTCTATTAAGGTAAAATCCATCATGTCAACCACTGAAGTTAAAAATCATTGCATCCATATTCCAAAAGATGTTCTTTGCTTTCATGGAATATTAATTACCTTTTACGGACTGTTAAAAATTTAAGTCATCGAATAAAGCTACTGCAGAACGGATATTAGCATTTAGATGTAATATGGACTTAACATTTGCTGATACATGATGTTGTTGGTATTAACAACGTCAACAGAACCGGCAATAAATAAACTCACCTCTATGCTGATCATGACACCAGATACAGTTGTGGCATTTTTTGCATATGTCAAGAATTCCATCAATGAAACAAAGTTTCCCTCATTTCTGGCTTTTGGATTTCGGTACAATCTAAACTCTAACCATGGGTTTGTTATTTCCGCTACAAGAAATTACAGCATGTTAAGTACATTAGTTAATATCTAGAGCAATTTGATGGTTAACATTTATGTTAAGCTAGAAGTTAACCTTATTAATGTAAAGAGAAAGGAATAGACTATGTCACTAACTCGAATAACTGATCAGTATCCGGAAATGTATATCTACATTTTCATACGCAAGCAAAAAAATATGGCAATTCACAAGCTGATTTCTTGTGATAAGGTTTTGAATTCAACCCATTAACTTAAAGATGCGTCAACAACTATGTCACTAACTTGAATAACTGATCAGTATCCGGAAATGTATATCTACATTTTCATACGCAAGCAAAAAAAGATGGCAATTCACAAGCTGATTTCTTGTGATAAGGTTTTGAATTCAACCCATTAACTTAAAGATGCATCAACAACTTTTGTCTTTACACATACTATCTTCAGCTTCCAGAAAACTTGAAGTCGGTATATGTTTAGTTTGAAAAATGTAAGATAGTATAAAGGAAAGTAGATTAACTTACGTTTCAGGCTCTTAATCTCATCCCAAGTGAGGTTAAAGGTGAATATTCCATTAGTTATGTTCAGTTCTGGGACAGTACTAGCAATATTGATGAATGGCGATCGAAAAACTGTAGTCTTATCTATCAAATTAATAGAGCCCAGGCAGAAGGGTATTCCATCCTTTGCCATTTGAACAGGACAGTCAAGAACATCAGCACCATCCGAAGCAGCTTTTGTATATGCCAAATCAGTACAACCCGGATAGTCTCCACTTGCTCCTTCAGATGTGATAACCAGAAGCTTTTCTGTAGGCCAACAGGAAAATGGAGAAAGAGTGAAATATAACATCTTGTACAGAAGAACAACTAAGTCCTAGTCAAGATATGAGCATGGTCACGTCCTTGCACAAAGCTTTAGAAGTGCTAGCTCGGATTCTCATGACTCGATAAGGTTATTTTCTCTTGAAAAGCTATGGTTTCTCCAAGACAATATAATTCTCAATTTCTTTGCTTACTCTTTCATATAAGACTCTCTCTGGAATAGTAATTTGAAACCAAGCTCATTTAATTAGACAAGAGAATTGATCTCAAACTCAAAATTTCTCAAATCAAACCTTTTCCAGTCCATTTTAACCTTGAGTATAGTACTAGCTCATAAGTTTTGCAGGATAATGGTTCGCACTTCCATATTTCGGGTATAAAAGCCATCTAGTGAGCAAAACAACATTCACCGGTCTAACAAAAATAAGATCGTATATTGGTAGCTTACCTTGAGGTTTATCATTCTTATCCAAATGAGTAAAGCAATCTGCAATATTACAAGAAGTATAAGAACAATGAAGAGTATCACGGTCGAAAGAGAAATAGCACAGAGCTTCAACACCAACTGAAAATATTCATGAATATAAAATGCAAAAAAAAGGTCCTGTCAGATACTCAAATCTAAGCGATTACAGAGGCAACTGCAATCACCTCCATCTTATCCACCGCATTTACAAATCTAGCGTGTCCAAGGTCTGCTCTTTGATATCACTATCAGTGATCATTTATCTCAAAGAATACAAAGTAGTATTTACTTTTCCTTTTCATGTCTATTTTTTATACTCAAATTAGGGTAAGGACAAGCATATCGCCTCAAAACCAGTTATTGGACTTTATAGTGGCCTCCCACTCTTATGAATTTGACTTTATATATCTCACATGTGTGTAGAAACATTTATATTTCTGTTCCTCTAGGATTAGGCTATGCATTTTCAAAGTCCAACACACCCTGATTGCAGTTCCACTAACTACTCAGGCCTTGTAAACCAGCACAATTTCCTCCAGAAACTTTGAAGTTGCCTAGATTTACTTTGCACCAAGGACACAATAAGATATTCAAAAGCAGGAAATAATTGTTGAGAAATGCATGAAACTCTGAGACTGCACAAAATTGAAGATATCTACAACAAGTCATCAGTATTCACAGCCAAGTTATTTACTAGAATTAGCAACTAAAATTATGAAAGCAACAATAAGAGCACAGAGATTCTGTTATTCATCAATTGTAGTGTGGTTACCTATTGTCGCTGATGGAGTTACTGGAAAGTCAGACAGAACTCCATCAACAGAGAAGTTGCCATTGTCAACGAAGGACAAATACTCAGATGTGGGATCATAGCTGTAATTGTAAGCAAAAGGCACATCATTTGCAAACTCCGATGCAAAAATCTGAAGACCTTCTTTATG